TGCCCCTCATCCTGTGGTTCTCCCCGCTCCTCTCCTCTCCTCTCCTCTCCTCTCCTCTCCATTTTTCATTTACTTTTCTTCTCCTTGTTTTGTTGCTTTTTTTTTTTCTTCCTTTCTTTTCTTCTCCCTTTTCTTCTCCCATTTCCTTTCTTCCCCCTATTTCAGGGCCTTGTTAACAGAGTCCCTTATGAGGCACTCCTCAAGAGCAAAGGAGTCCAGGAACGCTGGACATTCTTCAAGAAGGAAATCTTAATGAAACAGGAGCAGCCTGTCCCCATGTTCTGAAAGATGAGCCAGCAGGGAAGACCAGCCTGGCTGAACAGAGAGTATTGGCTGAAACTCAGGAAAAAAAAAAAGGAGAGTCTATGGCTTTCGGAGGAAGGGGCTGGCAACTCAGGAGGACTACAGGGATATTGTTAGGTTATTTAGGGAGAAAATGAGAAAGGCCAGAGCCGAACTAGAACTTAATCTGGCCCCTGCTGTAAAAGGCAATTAAAAATATTTCAATAAATACTTTAGCAACAAAAGGAGGGCTAAGGAGAGTCCCCATATTTTATTTGATGTGGGGAGAAGCATAGTGACAAAGGCTGAGGAAAAGGCTGAGGTACTTAATGATTCTTTGCCTCAGTCTTTAATAGTAAGACCAGGTGCTCTCGGGGTACCCAGCCCCCTGAGCTGGAAGATGGGGATGGGGAGCAGAATGAAGCCCCCATAATCCAAGGAGAAATGGTTAGCGTCCTGCCACACTGCTTAGACACTTAGACACACACAAATCTATGGGGCTGGATGGGATGTACCCAAGGATACTGAGGGAGCTGGTGGAAGTGCTCACCAAGCCACTTTCCATCATTTATCAGAAGTCTTGGCTAACCAGCGAGGTCCCAGTTGACTGGAGGTTAGGAAATGTGATTCCTATCTCTGAGAAGGGCTGGAAGGAGGATCCAGGGAACTAAAGGCCTGTCAGTCTGACCTCAGTGCCAGGGAACGTTAAGGAGCAGATCATCTTGAGTGCCATCACACAGCACTGCCTGGAGTTCTACCCAGAGTGTTCTTATACAAAAAGTGTTCAGATTTGAAATTTGAATACTGAAATTCTGTTTTAAATTGCAAGAATTACCAGAATTTAGTGCTAATTTGCCCTCAAGGAGAGATTAATTCCAACTCTAAACTTCTCCCTGCAAACCACTCTGTCTTAGTTTCCTAATGTCTGCAAGGGAAACTATTATTTCCTTTCTTTTGAGAAAACACTAACCTTAAGATAGTTATATACCATTGTAACGGACACTGAAGAAATATATGTGTTGACTTATAGGGCTTCTGGCAAGCTGACATGAGAATTTTCTAACCCTCTGCAAAGAGGAGGACAGGAACTCTCAGCAACCGTTCTTTAGAACTTTCTTCCTGTCAGTATCCAAATACTAGTCCTTTCTTAATGGCAGAGGAAAGCACTTTCTCATTGCTACATTTGATCAAGGAAAAAGGTGAAGCAAAGTTCACAGAGTAAAATAGATTCCTAAAGAAAAGATAATGTGAAAGAGAAGAAATAATATGGCACAATTTGAAAGCCTGACTAGATTAGGATTGCAGTACTCACTTTGGTTTCATACATTTCCCTTGCAAACTGTTTTTGAAAATGAGCCTATGTCAGTATTACCAAAAGTCATCTTCATTACAGCTGGCCAAATTGGTCACTGAGGATGAAGTTACCCATTCAGTCTAAGCTCATTTTTAATTGCTGAGGACTGTTAACATTGATTTTTCCAAATCTATATTTGGGTTTGCTTTTTCATTAGTCACCAAAGTCGTATTGGATAATTTCTGTCCCTTTCAGGTTAAAAACATCACAAATAAATAAAAAATATACTACACATAAGAAATGTCAGCTAAAAGGCTGTGATTTGCCCTAGCATGCCTCAGAAAGCAAAAGATTTTCAAGGAATGTCACATCTGGTCTGTACACATAAGTTATGGTAGATCTTGTGGACAGAGACAGCTTCCTTGGAAAAGTTTAACTTATATATAGAAGCAGGAAAAACAGGAGGTAGAAGGAGTCCATAATGTTCTGCTTGTCCATTGATTACTTTTAGAAAGAGACAGTGTCTGTATTAGGACATAAAATGTCTTTAAATGGAGAAGTGAACAATTTTCTTGTTATCAAGTTCTTTACAGGGCCCTAGAGATGTCATGTAAGATATGCTGACATGAAAATTCAGAAGACATCAAGATTCTCTACCAGTTTTTTGAAATGGACAGATGAGAGCAAGCTGGAATCCAGGAGCTGTAAAGCTGCCTTAGATTTGTATGATCTTAGGCAAAGCTTTACACTTCTATAGTGAATAGCTTATCTGGCTCCCCCTCCATATCTTTGCCTGAATATGCCACACAGAATCATAGAATCATTAGGTTGTAAAAGACCTCTAAGATCATCAAGTCCAACTGTCAACCCAACACTACTAAACCATGTCCTGAAGTGCCACATCTACAAGATTTCTAAACACCTCCAGGGATGGTGACTCCACCACTTCCCTGGGCAGCCCATTTCAATGTTTGACCACTCTTTCAGTAAGAAATTTTTCCTAAAGTCCAATCTAAACTTCCCCTGTCACAACTTGAGGCCATTTCCCCTTGTCCTATCACTTGTTACTTGGGAGAAGAGACCAACAGCCACCTCACTACAACCTCCTTTCAGGTAGTTGTAGGGAGCAATACGTTCTCC